GACTGAGAGTGAGAGTGAGAGTGAGAAGGAGAGCGAGAGAGAGCGAAAAATGCACAGGGGCAGCATCACGCAACAAAACAAGCCGGGAAAAAACAAACGCCCAACCGAACGGTACTCTTAGCCTGAACTCGAAAATCCATTTCCGTTCTAGGCCCCTGGCAAAGAGTGGGATGAGGTATGTCTTGCCACCCAATCCGAAGATGCCAGAAGTAAAAACGCCCAGGCAGACAAGGCAAAGCCACGCCAGGATGGCCTGGCCATTTAAGAGCTTCGGCCATTTAAGAGCTTCGAAGGCTTCCGGCTTTTGGCCATTTAAGAGCTTCGAAGGCTTCCGGCTTTTGAGATATGAAAAGTTTACAGCCTTGGATTTAGGGTTTTAAGGGGGTTACTTTATCTTGGAGTTTGGGACTTAAGGGCTTGAAACTTTTGGGGGGTGCTCTCGGTTTAAGGCTTCAGGTTTCGGAATTTTGGGGATTCATATCTTTCGGGTTTAGGGCTTGAGGTTCAAAGTGTGATGGGATTTAGGGTTCAAGATTCTGGGATGTTGGACGTGAAGGACGCAGGGGCTCGGGCAGTTCTGCCTGAGCCGGTTTTTGCAGGTTTAGGGAGCTGATCGGGTTTAGGGTTCAGGGTGCTTAGGGACAGCTTGTATAGGGTTTAGGGTTTAGGGTGTTTAGGGACAGCTTGTATAACTACGTTCGAAACAATCGGGCTAACCTGTCGTATTCCTGTGTCCAAGCAGCGCAGGAGACCGCGATGTCAACGTTCCTGAAACAGGAAGCTTCGGGTGCGTTTCGGGTGTCCGGGGTTTCGGTTTGGAGCTTAGGGTGTCTGTGACAGAAATTTACGGTTGAGCTGCTGTGCTTTTGCAAAGTTCTGATATAACGTTCGGAATAACTACTACAACTATCCCGTACAGTCCCCATATAACTACGTTGTAATACAAGACCCTGTTCCCTCCCATAGTAGGCCCATGAATTTAAGACTCACATGATGCTTGACCCTTCAGATATCCACCTTTGCTGAATATAGACGCACGCGGTCTGGGCCATGTTGATGACTGCGTGTGTTGTGTTGGGGTATGGTATACTACACTACACAAAAGGGACTGTAGTAGAGTCTATCTCTATTTAGGCGCCTATGTTACCGCCCTGGGACCCCAGATCCGGATCCCTGGGAGCCTATGTGATTTTCAACCCTAAGACAACACCATCTCAACAAACGCGAGCTTTGATTAAGCTGCCATGTCTTACACGGTCGTGAACCTAAGCCTCAACCATGAACAGCAGGAGAATGATGATGGGGATGGGGACGTTACCATTTGTAATTTCTTCCGTGCCCAGCAACGTCGGCGCACACCGGTGTGACTCATAGGAACCTGTACAATATTATAGTAGTATTTTGGTGCCTCCTTATTTTTAGAAGTATAGTATATTACACCCTAAAATCCCATTCGAAATATTAATTATTAAGACCCCTATATTAGACAAGGGGCCCTGAAGCCACGGAATGCGGCCAGGGTTCCCGCAAGTCATCACAAACAAACCACTCCACACAGTATCACTCCGGATTTTGGAACGCCCGTGGAGCTTTCGAGACACCCTCCGTGATCTTATCAGATGCAGGATCAGAACCCCTGACACCTTAAGCGTTACACTACTTTAGGGTTTAAGGTTTTGGGTTTAGGGCTACCTCCAGAAGTTTGATAGGACATCCCCCATCCTCTGCCAACTTAAGCCCTACGGCCTCAACCCTAGCGGCGCGTATACAGCGCGAGCTCTCAAGCCCTCTAAACCCTAAAGCCGAAACCCCAAAACCCTACCCCTAAGACCCTGAACCAACCCTAAACCTTTTGCATCCAGGACCCTAAACCTTACAACCCTAAACCCTACCCTAAACCCTAAACCCTAAACCCTACTTGCTAAACCTTGACTGCCGAAGGGGCAAGCAGAAGCAGAGAGCCAAGAACTTCCGCCACCGCGAGGATGACCAGACATGGCCTTATGATACTTCTGCATTTTAGGTTTTGGAGTTTAGGGGTTCAGGGTTTAGGGTTTAGGAGTTTAGAGTTTAGACTTTAGGGTTTAGGGGTTTTGGGTTTAGAGGTTTAGGGGTTTAGGGGTTTAGGGGTTTAGGGGTTTAGGGTTTAGGGTTTAGGGTTTAGGGTCGGGGACCACATCCTGTGTCCGTCACTGGATTCGGGTTCATGCTTTCGTTACGACTGAAGACGCTCCGGGCTAGTCTTCAAGGATCAGAGACTTAGTAAGTGCAGTTAGCTGCAAGGTCACTTTCGCTCATGTATCTACTGATAGCACCAATTAGATTCAGGTACTGCGGTACTTATGGTCCTATTTGCCAAGCCGCTAACCCTAAACCCTAAACCCTTTTTGCACTGACTGTAATCCCTAAACCATATATATATATATATATCTAGCTATGTGTGTATATGTACATATACATCTACATATATACTTTGTTTACTCGTTTGAAAACCTTTGCATCCAGGCAGCTAATGAAGATGCCCACGCCTGAGCATCTCCGGAGGGTTATGCGCTTAGTAGAAGCCGAAAGGCGCCAAGAACTCATAGAGGCTTAGGGGTTTAGGTGATTTAGGGGTTTAGGGGTTTAGGGTTTAGGAATTTAGGGTTTAGGGCTTTAGGGGTTTGGGGGTTTAGGGGTTTAGGGGTCTAGGAAGGTTCGAATATCATTGAGCTGATGGTTCTTCGAGACACAGCATACGTAATCCTAGCACTGATCATCCTAAATCCATGCGACAACTTTCTGGGCTTCACTCTAGATCGACGGAGACTCTGAATTGAATTGACCTAGCAGGGTAGCCTGTTTGAACCGAGGCTGCTTCTCCGCTCTAAGAGGCGCGATCTCAATGCCCATTGGCTTTCAACCAATAACTCATCAACCCTAAACCCGAAGCCCTCAGATCTAAACGAACAGGTCAGTCGAAACTCAGCGGAGGGTCCCAGGTTGAAGGATGTACTGTAAGACTTAGGACCACCAAGCTTTAGAAATGCGCTTCGACGGTGGTTTGGCGATTTCCGGTAGCCTAGCCGGGACTACAATGGGCTACAGGAATCATATGACGTAAACCTCAACAAGCACCCTTACCTGGCTTGACAATAGCTCCTGAAAGCTTCGCCTTCCAGCGCTTCAGTCTTATTCGATTTCAACAGGGCTGTGTTGGAAGTTGGAAGGTTCGGCGGTTCGGGACGGGCGCTTCAAGTTTCTGGATCCCAGCCTGTTGGCTGGGTTTCGATCAGGCGCGTATAGTAACCCCTACACCCTAAACCCTAAACCGTATAGTAGAGTGTAGCCAGAGTTTAAGGCGTATTGTCTAAGGCCTCCGGCTCAAGGTTCAACCTAAAGCCCAAACCCCTCACAGCAAGACTTACACCCTACACCCTAAACCATACAGCCTACCACCCTCAACCAGAACACTAAAGCTAATGAATTAGGGCTACGGCGAAGCCCTGACTCCGGGAGACGGGGCCCTTAACCCTCCAAAGGCTCGAGCGTTGGAGATAAACCACGACAACGAGGAGTGGTGTTTAGTTTTAAGAGGAGCTCTGTAAGGTAAAATGTTCAGGCCTTGTCTTGTCACAGGGGATAGAGCCTCTGGGTTTTGGATCGAAACCCAGTTCTGAAACCCTGAACCCCTAAAACCCTGAACCCCTAAACCCCCGTAAACCCCTAACCCCTAACCCTAAACCCCTAAACCCTAAACCCTTACCTGGAGCTCCTCCTATGCCTTATAGCGAGGCCCCCACCCAGTTAACCCGGAGTGCCGGAATCCCCAGAAAGTGCCTCTTAAGAGACCCTA